ACTTTATTGCATCATTTTACTTGCTGGACTCCGTATGTTTAAAAATAAATACATTTTAAATTAATAAAAAAAAACAGCTAAAGACTACTTAAATTATATGACTTATATACTAGTCATATATGAGTTATACTTTTATGCTTCCTCATTGACTGTCACTGTTATGATCGTAAGTACAAATGAGTATTTATTCATAATACAAGAAACATATTAATTTCACGGTACAAAGATGACAGTCTGTTGTATATAATTCATTTTATGGTTACCAGTTGATCATTTTCTTACTTATTTTTTTTCTCGAAAAAAACAATTTTCAGGAATATTTATTCAATTTCTGGCATTCTATGATGCATGTTGGCGTGCTCCGTACTATCGACACTTTTTAGGTGGAATTTTAGGTTGGTTTCTTTTATTAGAAAGAAATTATTTCCTTAAATCTATTTTTATGATCAATTTAGTTTTTTTATGCGTAAAAAATACAGTAGAAATGAGAAACAATAACGTATCAGTGCTTTTACAGCAACTTTGTGTACCTATGATTAGCATATTTGCTGTTCAAATGGTCTATAATTTTCTGAAATCACTTTCCTCGACTTTTTTGAGAAAGCTTTCAATTGCGTTTAAGTGTGCCGAATTATAAAAATAGAATGTAAAAACAATATTTTTCTCATAAGCAACCTACTTATGCCTGTCACCTCTCGTGGTGGAGCATAAGCCGTTCATCAGAAATCTCGATCCAACTTTGTCCTTAGCGATCCTTTCCAGTTGTTATCTATTCTTTTGATGTCTACTTCCAATATTGTGGAAGTTATTTAAGGCTTCCAACATTATTCGACCTTCAATACAGCACAATGACAGGATGTCTAATTTACTAACACTACCACGAATTTTTTTTATAGAATCTGGTTAGTATCCAAAATTAGGGAACTACATTATCATGTAATTGTTCAGTTGAGTCACATCCGATTGATTATTTGCCTTTCAATCCTTAAAAAAATTACCCAAAATAATATTTGAATATCCGATAATTAAAAATCTCCATTATTCTTCCTATATACATTTGACTGAAAAATGCTTTCAGTAACAAGGGGCTTATACAAAGTGTCTAACTAAAAACGATGTTTAATATCAAAAATTGAAATATGGAGTTCGAAGTCATTTCTTTGTCACATATCTCACAAAATATGCCCGTTATGTCATATTACTGTATACTTAATTCCTACTTTTAATTATCTTCTAAGTAATAATTTTTATTATATCACCGGCGTTTTTATGGCACTTGTGTACGTGATAATAAATTGTAAAACATTTTATATTTGCTAACATCATCGATACTCCACTCAATATATGTATTTAAAATTCCTTTTAGTTACACACACACACACACACACACACACACACACACACACACACACAAATACTCATACTGAAAACTATCGTATTCAGTTAAAACTTATGACCTTGAACTGACGGAAATGTTCACATCTTTCTGTTTAAGTGGTGTGAGAGATCTACTAATATTTAGTTTAACTACTAGAAAGAAATATTTTGATAAAATGAATGTTTGTTTGAAATTATTAGTCATTTTATTTTGCAACATCCCACTAATCTTATCGTATTGTTGTTGAATGGTTGGGTAACAATGTATTTATCATAAATGGCCTTAATTGACTTATTTCCTCTATACATGTATGTAAATATTACCTTATATTTAAGCAAAGATCACATTAGAAACAATATTGTTTGCTGATAAGTTTTATTCCAAAGGAAAAAAAAACATTTGTTTGAAAACTGAATAAGAGTTTATGTTTCTCGAAATCCAGTTCATTTGTTATTTCTTTATGAATTTATCATTGACTTTGGTTACTATTTTAGGTTACTCACTTGGTTTCATAGTTACCATCATTATGTTAAATGTTACTAATATCAGTCAACCAGCTTTATTGTATCTATGTCCATTTACTCTTCTTGTAACCTTCATTGTTGTCATCGTTTGTGATGGTCTAAATGAATGGAAACTAATGTGGTCAGGCAGTTTGCCTACATTGGTCGATAATTCAAATATGAATCCGACTGGCGATAGCGACCGGGTTAATCAACCAACTGGTTCTTTAGAAGTGAATAATCTATATTCAGTTGAAAATAAATCGCTTAACCATTCAAAAACTCCACTAGTCCCTGAGCAATAATAATAATACTCACTGATATAGTATTACTTATACCAAAAAAAGAAAAGGAACGTACTGTGGCTTTTATTTCTTTCTTATCTTTGTAAATGCTTATTTTCGTGATGACTTTGTGATTACATCCGCATTTTTATTTGTATTTGTGTATGTGCGTTTCAGACCTTTTATTCGTAATGCTATAAATGATAGTAATCACCATATCCTAGAAACTAGTTGATTGATTTGTTAAGATGTTGTGTAATTTTGATATTTTGCTTACCAGTGTAGCAGCTTCTGATTCTAGATATGGAAGCAAAAAATGTGGTTCCCGTGATAATCTGTTCGTTGGGTAACTGATTAAGGTTTCATAGCAGAAGCGGCACTGTTCACTCTCGTGATTATGGTTTCTTTTCAATGTCGTTTGTTTCGTATATTTACTCGTAGCTTTATTATGCAGTACTACATTGTTGTCCTGAATTCATAAATCTCAAACTTCGGGACTAGCTCTAATGACGGACTTAATTATGAGAACTGCAATCACTACTATTCTCGTTCTTGATTCGGTTGTAGACACGTAATATCATTAACTTGATTTCCATTTCATATCATTTCTGCCAACATACATCTCTTGACAAGTTACAACAACAAGGGGTCTAATGATAACAAAAGAAGATAAGAAAGCTATTTAGAGACAAAGAAAAATCTATCTGCTTTACTCGTTGGTACCGGATCTTATTTTATTGACTACACTGTAAGATATTTGGGAACTAGAAGCATCACAATGATAGCTGAAAGAAAATTTCGATCCACATATTGTACCTCAATTATTCACCCAAACAAGGTATGGTCGCTTCTATTCTATCGAGAAGGGGAAACGAAGACTAATCGATGGCTGGGAACAAAAGACACTGATGTGTTTAGGATGTAATTTAAGACGATTAGTTCCTTTGTATGACTGATTGTTGCGACATAAGTGGAAGGGTTCTTATTTTTCGGAATTATGCTTTAATAATCCAGGACCTAGTAAAAAATATCTATCAACATAATGAGAGGTAGTTAGAAAAGATGTGTAGCTATGCAGCAAAGTAATGTTACTTTCCCTGATCTTAAGAAAAAATATTGGAAATGGAAGCTTTATAACAGAGTACACAGGCTTTTGTACGTCACGGTTCATTATGAAGTCGCTTCGAAATGGCATACGAAGGACCTTTTAAAGTCCTGCATCTTAAGCTTTATTACTCTACCATCGACAAAAAGGGGACTAATTGTAACGTTAGCATTGACCGTCTTCAGGTCTCTTAATTGGAAGGAATCTTAATTTTCCTCCTGTACAATCAAACTATAGGAGCCTCACAATCACTATGCCTTCCCCGATATTCAGCAATCAAAACGAAACGTTGCAGATATCTAAAAACCAGCCAAAAACAACGTGCTCTGGCAGAAGTGTAAGGTTTTCTGGATAATAGGACAACTACTACACGTAGGACATTAGATACCTTTTTGTTTTATCTCATTACTTCGCAACTTATCTGATTGTACTATATATATCATTGTATCAAACAATTACATCACAACGAAGATTGAATTATGAGTAACTTCTGGCAACTATTCATAGTCTCTTATTACATATATTGTTATTGTATAACTATACAGTAACCAGATTATGTTTATATATAAAGCTGTAGCAGTAGAGGTATACCCAAAATAAATAGTTTTGTATGTCTTCGACATTAATGCTGACCTCATTAGTTTTACTGGACACCCTAACTAGAGGCTCTCAGCCACATATCAACACCATATCAGGGGTTGGTACACCGTGCCTCACTACAAGACGTGATAGTACCAGCATGACATAACAAACAATGTAAATTTATTAAATTCTGGTATGCAGATTGTTATTCATTGTGAATAAGAAGTTCATCGATACTCTTCCATAAATCCTGGTGTTGAAGTTCATTAACTTAAGCAAATGAACTTAATGGCAAAAACAGTTTTCTCAATAATAACGAAATGATTATTAACTACCTCTCATATTCACAGAAAATAACTAGCCATGAAGAAACTAGACGTTGATGGTGTAGCGGTAAGTACACCTCTGAAATCAATAGTTCTGCAAGTCTTCGACATTTGGTGTTGACTGCATTAATTTTACTGGTCCCAATTAGATGAAGGCTCTTTGTCCCGCATCCACATCAGATCACAAGCGGGAACGTCAGGCTACGTACTTCTTTTCAGCTACTAGCAAGCTTAGAACAATGTTCCTTCGACATATTGGACAACCTCTCAAACATATCTTCGAACTTTTTCATTCCTGTCTTCTGATATGATTGTGCTGACACACATCGATTATAAAAAAGTTACTGGCTTAGGTGTTACCACACTCCAAATTATTGTAGCATCCTTGTTAGTTGTGTCATCGATTTAAGCAGATAATAGTAGGCAGATGAATTAACTCAAATATGCTAACCACATAATGACAGGTTCGGCATCACAAGCATTCCGTTGTACGAAAGTCAGGCTTACAAGTATATTTTGCCCAAATTTGAATTAGTTGCTCGTTACAACTCTCATCTCCTCCCTTATATGTCTAAAAGTTTCCGTCTGAAATGTGCGTTGCGTTTAAACTGACATAAGCTATTCCATGCAATTTTCATTGCTTAAACACCTGAGTTTAGACTTGTTACTGTCTGTCTTCTTATCGATAAATCATTTTTCGACCTGAAGAGATTCATCTCACACTCTGTTATTTCTTCTGTTAAACATGAAGGTTCATTTACAAAGTCATCCTTTGAATCGTTTGAACTAACTAATTGGGTCAAACTTTTGTAATGACAAGGTCATTGGTACGCGGAATAAACAGGTTCGTTGTATGATCGTTGTATGTTGGTTTAGAACAAGCTTGAATGAGTACAGGGTTCGTAAGCTGGCTGAAGTATTAGCTTATATTAAAGTGGATTCCCAGGTTTTTAAGAATGCTGTTTATAGTTAACTCAAAGCCCAGGTTGCCATGCTGCAAACGCACTATATAAGATTGACAAGATTTTCCAATGTGATTGATCAAACACATGGATCTATTCATTTTATAGATTTGAATCAATTTCTTAATCTTTATGTCTGTCTTAAACTCTAACATGGCAAGGCAATATTTCATAAAGTGATTGAAATGATAGGCTAAGTACCTCACAATATAAAGTGACTCATCCTTTATTTTATTAATCTGAAAACCTTAGATTCCCGCTTTCATTAATTTCACCTATTTTCGCTTAGGCGTTTCTCAGTATTCATCACATTTTCTTGCTTACTTTCATTTATTATGCTGATATACATCACAGAAACTTCAACTGGTACACATTTTCTATCGGTTTTTAATTAATGTCAGTTCCAACCTTTTGATCATAAGAAAGCACGTTTTAAGACAGGAAAAGGCTGGTTTGGTATGAGGCTTCCTAGTTTCAGTTTATGATGAAAACGAGTGTATGGTAAAGCTAAATAATTCATGGATTGCTTCCGAAGTCTTGTCGAATCACATGTGAGACCATACTAATTTATAGGAATTTATCCACCCTAAATTAGTATTGAGCAAACGACCCCATGGTTAAAAGTCTAGTGAGTAAATTTCCAGGCCGTTGAGTTACGTAAATCACATATATCACATATATTTGAAAGTTAATAATATTTAGGCTTTCTTCTAACCTGTAAGTTGTGTTTTACATGACATTACTCATTATTTTTGAAGGTTATTTTGAGTTAGGTTAATAACTGTGGAGAGCGTTTTAATTTCTAGATAACCTTTGTCTGGCTCAACAAAATAATTTTATTGCCATACGTTTTATACACCCATATAACTATTCTGCATTTTAAAACAATTATTTTTTTATTTATTTTAACACATAGATATTGGTACGAGGAGGCACCAAATACATATGGGCCACACAAACCTCTTTCGGTATGTGTGAGGGCTGTGATACTGCCCGGGTGCCCGAACCGAAGCAGGTGGTTTTCTTAGACGGCCACTCCCCTAGCCTTCGACCTGAAGGTCTGATCCACAAGGCAGTGGAGCAACGTAAGGAGATGTAGTCCCATGGTACCCGGTGACCAACAATTGGTTCATACGCCATTTGTTCCCGCAGAATACCGGAGCCCATGTGCACCATTGGTTTGGAATCCGGTTAAAGCGCCAGACGTTCGCTTTTCGTCCTCTCATATTCGTAAATAGCACCCCCGCCACAAGAAGACAGTGAGTAGGAATTCCCTGGCAGAGGCTATATACGCTTTATATAAGCTTTAACCAAATCTTGTTTCACTTAAAGTCACTTTGTTTGTAGTAATTCTCCTTGAAAATATACGCGTAAATTATTGTAATGTCATTTGTGAAAGATATTTTGAGTTACGTTGTATTTTTTCATGCAGTAAATAACTCGCTTATTTATCTTAAAGTTAAATGGCTTACTTTCAGATTCCTAATGACTTCACTAAAATACAATGAAAGGGAATATGAAGCTTGTGATTGGTTTTTAAATATACAAACACAAAGATCTGTCTCTGAACTTCAATCAGATCTGTTCGTCTCAAATAGCGGATTCTTGGTTGATAACAGAACACAACGTTTTATAGAGCGTTACTTCAATGCATTTTATTTAGTTGATGTTGGTGGGGAGTTTGAAAATGATATTTGTATATTAAGGCATAGCAATACTTTGTGTGTTGTTGGTCTTGCTTGTGGGCACCATATTTTTAAAAGGTGTAGCAAGAATTCCTCTAGTGACTGTTCTTCTTCCGTAACTCACGAAATTTTAGGATTAGATTATCAGGTAAATATTTTTTACCTTTCCTCATATAATTTATATTGATTTTAAATCATTCATGTTGAGCAGATTTGTATTACGTCCCTTTGTCTTTATATTGTAGTTTGATTTTTATGACATGCATTTCATTTTTAGTATGCACATGACTGTCGAAATAACTTTTCTACTATGAATGTGTGTTTGATATTACTGTTACCTCCCATGGAGGAGCATAAGGCGTCCGCCAGAACTCCATCGAGCATTGTTGCGAGCGATCCTTCCTAGTTGTTATCCATTCTTTTGATGTCTGCTTCAGATTGCCAACTCAATGTGCTTCTTCGTCTTTTCCCTTCCCCTTCAGGATTACAAGTTAGCGCTTGTCTTGTGATGCAGTTTGATTTCCTCAATGTGTGTCCTATCCACTTCCAACATCGTTTCCTAATTTCCTCCTCAATCAACGGACATTGACTATCTATATTAGACAATTGTTTATAAATATACTTGTACTGTTTTGGTGATGGATGTGGTAGTTATCCACGTCTCAGCTTCGTACAGTAGAACTGACTGTCTTGACGTTAGTATTGAAGATTCTGACTTTGATATTTGTTGACCGATAGTTGTTCTGAGTTCTATATGTTCCTCAACTGTAGGAATGCTGTTGTCGCTTCACCAATCCTCACTTTTACATCTGCACCAGATCCCCCACGTTCATCGGTGACGCTGCACAAGTAAGTGAAAGTTTCCACATCTTCCAGGTCTTCTCCATCAAGTGTGGTTGCGTTGGTGTTCTCCGTGTTGTATTTGAGAATCTTGCTTGTTCCCTTGTGTATTGTTGAGGCCTTCTGATGTAGAAACTGCTGCTACACTGACTGTCTTCACCTGCATCAGTTCTTGTGTACGGCTAGAAGAGCTAGGTAGGTGATATACGAAGTCCAAATCTTCTAGTTGCATGTAAGGTTGTACATTGTATGCCGTGTTTCTCATGAGATATGGAAGTCTTCATAACCCAGTCAACCCTCAGAAAAAAAAGAGAAAGAAGGGGAGTAGGCAGCCTTGCTAACCTCGATCCTCACGTGGAATGCGTCTGTCAGCTGTTCTTCGTGCATAACTCTGCAGTATAGTCGGTCCCATGAAATCGGTGTGATGTTGACGATCTTTTCGTGTACACCATATTGTCGAAGAACTTTCTACAAAGTTTTCTTATCCGTGCTGTCAAACGCTTCTGTATAGTCAAGGAAGTTGATGTAAAGTGACGAATTCCATCCAATTGATTGTTCAACAACGATCAGTAGTGTCGCAATATGGTCCGCGCACGACAAATTCTTACGGAATCCAGCCTGTTGATCTCAGATCTCCTTTCTCTGGTATGTTGATGAGGTGCCCTTCTTTTCAATCCATTGGCGCGTAATCATCCTTCTGAATCTTCCTGAATAGAACGTGGAGCATGTTTGCAGTTACCTCTATTTGTGACATCAGTGCTTTAGCTGGGATATTGTCTGGTGCTGTTGCTTTCCCACACTTGATTTGTCTAATGGCTATCCTGGCTTCTTCGATCGTTGGTTCAGTGACATCTATAGAATGGTCTGTGTATGCTGTTTCATTCTCCAGTGGATTCAATGTAGCCCTTCCACGTATTTCTGCCTGTCGGCTCCAATGCCCTTCTTCATCTGCTTGTTTGCTTCTGTGCATTCGGTGTGCCTTGACTTTCTCCGTTCTTGTTCGTCTGTTGCTCATCGCCGTCTTCTTGTTCTTCCTATCTTGAATCTTGACCAGGGTTTCCATAGAGATCCATTCCTTATGATGATGCTTCTTGTGGCCCAGAACCTCCCGACACATTGAAGTTAATGCTTCTTTCATCCCTTTCCGACTGTCCTCCATAGTAGTTTTTTCTTTCAGTATATCCTGTAAGGATTGGAACCTGTTGTTGAGAGTTATACTGAATTCGTTGATTTTGTCAGTATCTCGAAGGAATTCTGTATTGAACCTTTGTAATGCTGTTTCCCCAGTTGTCCGTTGTTTTTTTAGCTTCAGTTTCATTTTGGCAACCACCATGTAGGTGGATTAAGTTTGATATAGGTGTATTTTAGTTATCTGTATCAGCATATTTAAGTATATTAATTGGTAGCTCGGAGGATTTTTTTAAGCTCATGTAATATTTAGTTTTAAGACTTAGAAACTGGCATTTCCTTAGCTTTATGTTCTGATTCCGGTTACCTGTATGTATACCTTAGACATGTGATTATATCTTCCCATATCGTGACTGCAAGGTTGGGAAATAGGTGTTCACTGTTATGTGAACTAATATTCGCTGTTCAAGGAGTCTTTCAGCACGTTTTAATGGATCACAATGTTGGTTTTAGTATTTGGTTAATATTTGCTTAAAGTCCATCAAGTAACAATCAAAATAATGACTCAGTGAATGGTTAATTATTGATGCAAATACGAGACTATAATTATCCTAGAACTCAGTTACCTTATATATTCCTGTGAATGATAATCTCCAACGGAAACTAATACATTGAATATACTCCATAATTTCATTATTACTTGATTATTTTAGGTTTCCAATGGATTAAATCGTTCGAAAAAAAATGTCAAAGGCCGTCGTAAACATGGAGGTCATGTTTTGAATAAATCTACGGACATAATAGCTTATGCTATTTGTGATCGTGAAATAAACCATCCTGTAGTTTGTGGCATTCCAGGCAATCTTTTGGAAGTTAATAATTCTCTAGACATTACAAAAACCGAGTTTCATCCTCCTATCTCAGAAGATCTAGGCTATTTAAATTCAAAAGTGAAGTTAACTCCTTTGATAGGAAGCGAGAGTACTATTAATGTTGGTACCTACTTATCCATTATATTGCCAAAACCAAGACCAAGGAAGGATCAAAGTGGGTGTATAATTGATAAGTCCATTGATGAGTCGATTTTACTGATTGATTCTCCCACTCAAAACTGTACAGCATTAGTTGGTGATGTTTCAGAAAAGCTTGATGATTTAACCCAATCAGACTATGTAGCACAGATTGCTGATTTTATTTCACAGACATCTCTTCCTAAAGAACAAAAGGTACTTAACTGGAATGAATATTCAGCCCTTCGACATTGTACATAGATTATTCTGTGATATTATTTTTTATACTATATTTTTACATTTAAATATATAAATGCTTATCTATACGTGATTTTCTTGATTTATGCAACTAATACTATAAAGTATTAGTCACTTAACTTAATTAACTAATAATCTTGTTAATCGCCCTTAAATCATTTACTTCAATACTAACTGGAATTATAAAAACTTTATTTAGTGGTCCGTTTATAGGTTATAACGAAAACTGGATTTCTTCACTTTTCAAAGATCTTTGCGTGAATGTATTTCAAGATAAATCGTTTGAAAACATCCTTTTAGTGCGCAAAAATTTTTTGATACCAATATCAACTTGAGCATTTAATGTTTTAAGGGATGATTTTATTATTTAAGCCATTAACAACCAAACGATTATTAAGTTTTCCTTGTTTAAAATTTCGTTTTAATACCTTTGTTTATCCTACCTCACTGTCACCATATGTAACAGAACTTTATTATCCATATTATTATAATTATTATTATCCTGAAAAATAAGTATATATAAGTTTGCGGTTGTACATCTTTAGAAGTGAATTCGCCGGAAAGAGAACTCTTCGCTGAACTTATCTATCTTATTTAATGTCTTAATGGGTGTATTCCGTTTTGGTTTAGAACACTAATTATACTGATGGTTTCATCATACATATTTTTCATAATTAAATAAATAGAGGTAAGTTTGACCAACAATAGTTGTGGGTTAGTAAATTTCAGTATATGATCTTTATTCATGAAATAGTAATCACATAGGTCTATTTATTGTGCCATTTAGTATTCACAGATTTTGATTATATGAGCAGTCAAACTCATTAAGAATAATATATTCGAGTGAATGGTTTAGGTCTTCTATATTACTAACATTCATTTATTCGAAGATTATTGTTGATAGCATCAACACACTTAGTAAACTTGAAGGCTCGTGATTTTCAAATGACAGCTATTCTCAATATTGAACCTTACGTTTTTACAATAGTCATTATAATTTCGAACTAAGTTACATCACCTATATATATATATATATATATATATATATATATATATATATATATATATATATATATATACTTGGGAACAGTTAAAACAATGCATTAGTCGATCGAGGTGTTACACTTTTGGGTAGTAAGTCCTACTGTATTGTTTGACACGGAGTCCCGAAAGTTCGTTTATTGTTTAAAGCGCAGTTTCAGGTTTAAAGCAGCACTTGGTAAACTTGGATCGTTAATTTTGGTGCCACATTCGGTAAAACAAATCCATAGAAGAAGGGCTCATGGCAGGAATAGAAGAAATATTAGGATGAGGCTGTTATCGGGATCAACTCCGCCTGGAGTCCCTCCGGGGGCTACTGCCGGTCCCAAGCCCGGATAAAGGAGGAGGGTTGGGCATGGGATTAGCGTCCCCATCCTGTAGAAAACTAACTCGCTAAAAAAACGCTAACCAGAAAAAATTATTCAAACCTTTTAAACTCTGCCCTGGGAGTCAGAAGATCTTCATTTAGAAGAATTATGACGCCTCATGATGAAAGCCGAATCCCTTCGGAAGTTACGAGGCCGATGCCCCTTCTGACAACCAGAGCGACCATTTATTTAGGTACATGGAATGTTCGTACAATGTGGGACACCGGAAGAGCCTTCCAGATTGCTGCAGAAATGAGAAGATACAACCTAGAGGTACTTGGGATCAGTGAAACACATTGGACACAAGTTGGACAACAACGACTAACTACAGGAGAGCTCCTGTTATACTCCGACCATTAAGAAGAAAATGCACCACATACACAAGGAGTTGCATTGATGCTGTCCAAACAAGCGCAAAATGCACTTATAGGATGGGAATCTCATGGACCAAGGATCATCAAAGCCTCGTTTAAAACAAAGAAAGAGGGCATTTCAATGAACATCATCCAATGCTATGCGCCTACCAACGACTACAATGAAGACGCTAAAGATCAATTCTACAATAGGCTGCAGTCAATAGTCGAGAAGTGCCCAACAAAGGACCTGACCATTCTGATGGGAGATTTCAACGCCAAGGTTGGAACGGACAACACTGGATATGAAGACATCATGGGACGACACGGACTGGGAGAAAGAAACGAAAATGGTGAGAGATTTGCAAATCTATGTGCCTTCAATAAGCTGGTCATAGGCGGCACCATATTCCCACATAAACGCATACACAAAACCACATGGACTTCACCGGATCACTCTACACAAAACCAAATCGATCATATTTGCATCAACAAAACGTTCAGGAGGACGATGGAAGACGTGAGAATCAAGAGAGGAGCTGATATAGCATCAGATCATCACTTACTGGTCGCCAAGATGAAATTGAAACTCAAGAAGCACTGGACAACGGGGCAGACAGTATCACAAAAGTTCAATACGGCCTTTCTCCAGGATACTAACAAACTCAACAAATTCAAGATAGTCCTCAGCAACAAGTTCCAGGCCTTTCATGATCTACTCAATGGAGAAGGAACTACAATGGAGAGCAACTGGAAGGGGATCAAAGAGGCAATCACTTCAACATGTCATGAGGTCCTGGGCCAAAAGAAGCACCACCACAAGGAATGGATCACTGTTGGTACACTGGATAAGATTCAAGAAAGAAGGAACAAGAAGGCAGCAATCAATACCAGCCGAACAAGAGCAGAAAAAGTCAAGGCACAAGCTGAATACACGGAAATAAACAAACAAGTGAAGAGGAGCATCAGAACCGACAAACGTAAATATGTGGAAGATTTAGCAACGACGGCGGAAAAGGCTGCAAGAGAAGGAAACATGAGACAATTGTATGACACGACAAAGAAACTCTCTGGAAATCGCCGCAAACCAGAACGACCAGTGAAAAGCAAGGAAGGCAAGGTAATCACCAACATTGAAGAGCAACAAAACAGGTGGGTAGAACACTTCAAAGAACTGTTGAATCGACCAGCTCCACTGAACCCACCCAACATCGAAGCAGCACACACGGACCTCCCAATCAATGTTGGCCCACCAACAATTGAAGAAATCAGCATGGCCATCAGACAAATCAAGAGTGGCAAAGCAGCAGGACCGGACAACATCCCAGCAGAGGCACTAAAAGCAGACGTAGCGGCAACTGCAAGGATACTCCACATTCTCTTCAATAAGATTTGGGATGAGGAACAAGTACCAAGAGACTGGAAAGAAGGACTTCTGATCAAAATACCGAAGAAAGGCGATCTCAGCAAGTGTGATAACTACAGAGGCATCACTCTGCTGTCAATACCGGGAAAAGTCTTCAACAGGGTATTGTTAAACAGGATGAAGGACTGCGTAGGTGCCCAACTTCGTGACCAACAGGCATGATTCCGTAAGGATAGATCGTGTACAGACCAAATCACAACTCTACGGATAATTGTGGAACAATCAATTGAATGGAATTCATCACTCTACATCAACTTCATTGACTACGAAAAGGCATTTGATAGCGTGGACAGAACAACACTATGGAAACTTCTTCGACACTACGGCGTGCCTCAGAAGATAGTCAATATCATACAGAACTCATATGATGGATTACACTGCAAAATCGTGCATGGAGGACAGTTGACAAAGTCGTTCAAAGTGAAGACCGGTGTTAGGCAAGGTTGCTTACTCTCACCCTTTCTCTTTCACCTGGTGATCGACTGGATCATGAAGACGTCAACGTCTGAAGGAAAGCGCGGGATACAATGGACATCTAAGATGCAGTTGGATGATCTAGACTTCGCAGACGATCTGGCCCTTCTATCCCAAACGCAACAACAGATGTAGGAGAAGACAAACAGTGTGGCAGCAGCCTCAGCAGCAATAGGTCTCAATATACACAAAGGGAAAAGCAGGATTCTCCGATACAACACAGAATGCACCAATCCAATCACAATTGACGGATAACATTTGGAAGATGTAAAAACCTTTACGTATTTGGGAAGCATCATTGATGAACAGAGTGGACCTGATGCAGATGTGAAGGCGCGGATCGGCAAAGCAAGAGCAGTATATTTACAACTGAGGAACATCTGGAAATCAAAACAACTGTCAACCAACACCAAGGTCAGGATTTTCAATACAAATGTCAAGACAGTTCTACTGTATGGGGCAGAAACCTGGAGAACTACAAAAGCCATCATCCAGAAAATACAGGTGTTTATTAACAATTGTCTACGCAAAATACTTCAGATCCATTGGCCGGACACTACTAGCAACAGCCTACTGTGGGCGAGAACAAACCAGATCCCAGTGGAGGAAGAAATCAGGAAGAAGCGCTGGAAGTGGATAGGACACACATTGAGGAAAGCACCCAAATGCGTCACAAGACAAGCCCTCACATGGAATCCTGAAGGTCAAAGGAAAAGAGGAAGACCAAAGGACACAATACGCCGAGAAATGGAGATAGACATGAGAAAAATGAACAAGAATTGGATGGAACTAGAAAAGAAGGCCCAGGATAGAGTGGGTTGGAGAATGCTGGTCAGCGGCCTATGCTCCATTGGGGGTAACAGGCGTAAGTAAGTAAGTAAGTTATCGGGATCAAGATAGATTAGGGTGCCACTTGAGTTGTGCAGGCAGTTGAACCTATCAGACCTCTCATGAGGTGAGAGAACATTTATTCTTGAGGGATCTCTAATTGGTACCAGGAATCCTTTATACAAAAGGTGTATCTGTGCTTTCTCTTTTTTTGATAGCTTCCAATTGTGGAAAGGTACAATCTATGGAGATACCACTTATCCGTGCTAAACATTTTATCACTACTGGAGCACGGTACAGTTGGTAGTTTCCTCTATTTCCAACAATACTATCCTATGTCTGATTAATTAGATGTAAGTAATGGGAGATAAATATGAATTAATAAAATAACTTTCTGGAGCCAGTCTAAGTGGATTTTTGAGTTGACTATTAGCTGGGTAGTTCATAGTTGAAATGCTACTCTACCCATTATTATTATTATTGAGTAATGAATGTACTCCATCAGTCAAATACTCATTTGCTCAAAATATTTGACTGATTCCTAACTCATTATTTTCCTGTTTTTGTTTGGATACAAAAACCGTTTCTGTGTTATGTATTCAGACAGTCTAAGTAGTTTATTAATTGAAAAATCATCGACACGGTTGTCTACTCTTTCAATGTTCGAAGTAATAAATGTGGATTTTTATGTAGTCACCATTGGAATAAACCACATCAGCAGATTTAGTCGATCAACATTTCGAGTTTCATACACATTATTTTTACTTATAATAATGCAAACATTTTGTGCACAGCAGCGTTTGGTCCCCAAGTTGTACCGATTTCTTATTTTTTATAAAAAATATTTCTCTTTTGAAATGAGTATCTAGTTTGATCATAATTGCTACAGATATGAACAATGACTTACTCCTCTAATAGATAAATCGCAAAAGTATGATAAAGCAATTTATATATCATGGAATACAAGTAGTTCTAAAATGATGAAGTACTAGTACTCAAAATATACGCAGAAATATTGAAGCTCCTGTTATAACTTGTCAATGGAATGCTAGAATATCATATACGATAAAAATATACGCATAGTGTTGTTCCATAAATGGATCCCAAAAATTACCATTCCTTATCCATATCGAGACATAACACACCCCTGTTTTGAAGATCTGGAGTTGATATCCGGATTTTAGATTTTCCGAGCTTATCTTCCCCCCACGAAATAGTGTTGGATCCTCATATTTCCAAGTTACAATTAATTTGAATTTATTTAAAACATTTGTCGCATTGAACAGAGAGTCTACTGAAAGTAACTAAGTGGTCAGGATCAACGACGCTTGATATGAGGTCATCGAAGTTTGATTCTTCTGAAACATTTACATCAAATTTATTGAAAACCTCATTAGTAGATGATGAATCATTAGGGTAAACAGCATCTATCAAAACTGCACTAGGTTCTTTATTATCATTTGGTGCATGTGACACATTTTCTGGTAAAACAAGGGAATCTCGATAATTAGATTCGTCAGAAACTTCTATCACAGAATGATGAGCTCCATTTAGTGCATCTGGATTCAGTGTACTGCTTGATTCGTTTTCTCTTCATGGGCGGTTACTGCGACAAGTTCATGAACATTTAACAGGGTATCGTTTTTTTTCAGAGCTGGATAAGTCACTGTTTGCACATTCTGTTTCGGGGATAATGGGGTTCGAATTCATTACCGGACATGTTTCTGAAATGGGCAGTAATGGACCACTACACCACTGGGTGGATCTTGAATAACTGCTGTTTCTTTTAAATTACGGTTTGTCGAGGATTCATGGAGGCTGCAATCATTTTCAAGCTCGGTGCGCAATTAAGAAATTAATCCATTCAGTTCCGTCGCATACCCAAAGCATGAGTGATTCAGCAGCTATGTGCGTAGTTTGACTAAGAACTTCAACTGTCGCTCAAATAGCAACTGTAATCGATCGGAAGGGAGAGTCATTTTCTGAATCAACACAGTAATGAAAAATACTGTATGACTAATGAACAATCCATGTCGTTGAAGGACACCGGCGAGAACCCTATATGCTGATTGCTCAGGTAACTAATAATGGTCTAGGAGAGATTAGTTAATGATTTGAACTATGAATTTACTGAACTGATTACAAAAATAAATTGTTTCAGTATTGAATATAATTTATTGGGATATAGTAACATCAAAGTTTAAATATTACACACACAACAACAAAAACAAACTAATTCTATGAGAAGTATTCAGTTCATGTGTATCAATTTTTAGGTTGACGAATGAGATTAATTAGATAATATATAACCTATTTCAATTGTAACTCTTCAAATTCACATAGATAAGTAAAATAAAATACAACATGCAAGTATAATTAAATGTAATACAATAGAAAAAAGATTGACATTTCAAGAATAAAGCTTTCCTAAATAAACACCTTTTTTTTGAAGGAAAATTCGAGAATTCAATTTTAATTTTTTCTTTTTTTTTAACAAATCAGTAATATAAATAATTAAGTTAATGTAAAGTTGAAAAATATGAACTGGGATAAAATGAATTTATCATTTCATTAAATTATAACTGATACATTTCACATTTCTTTATGACATCCAGGTTCATTATCAGGACATACACATGTACGTGATCTACCACCGTCATTTGGTAAACATATATAACGACATCGTCCATTAGAATAAGTGCATGGATTAGTTGAAGCTAAATAGGTAATTAATATCGATAAAAATATTATAATTAATTGTTTTGATTAGTTTAAATGGTTGGGGGGTATGTAAATGAAAATATTTATCGTCATCATAGTGATGATGAATCCATCAATCAAAATAATGAATAATTATAAATAAGACAAGTTTGTACATACTATGCATGTTATTAAGCACATATTGCCTTGGTTACGTATACATTCACTTTGAAAATATCTGGTCAATTGTTGTACAACTAGAACCATAATCATTGACTACACTAATATTAGTTCCATTCATTAGTCGAACTGATGAAATGCAACAATATTATAATGGAAAATATACTATGTATTTTCGTTTATTAAAAATTCTACTTACTTTCGGAGAAAATATTTTATAGAAAAATGATTATAGCTGCTGATCAGAAGATTCTGTGGCAGTTTGCTCTTGAATGACTTACCAAATGAGTAAATAAACACTCCGAAGGCTCTCTAATTAGGGACTATTGGTTGAGTCAGGAACCGTCAGCGAAATTGTTAACCTCAATTGTCATTAATTGGAGCTGCTCATCTTTATTCAATTTTATCATCAATATCCTTTCGGAAATAAAATGTTTCTTCGACCAACTTCTCAGGGGTCAACCCCCTACATGGAAGTTCGCCTGTCGATTTAGAATAATTAGATTACATATTGTTACTGAGTGAAAACAATGACAAACTGCAGAATCCCTTAATCGTTCTCAGCAAAAATGTTAGTATGTTTCGTACGCGAAGTGCTGCTTCAGGACTGGTTTGCATTAACGCCTGAACTGATGATATGGAGTGAAGTAGTTTTATTCTTTTGACCACTTTATTTATCTTGGAAGCCTCATCAGCCCTGGTGGTTTGGTGTCTGACGAAACCTCGGTTGGCTCTTGACAACGTGCGTCGCTTGTGGCTTGGACGAAATGTTCGTCTGACAACCAAGGGACGTGTATATTCCACAGCAATCCGTTTTGTACTACTTTATATCCGTGAACCATAGTCTATCAAAGTAGAAGATATTCGTGGGCTAAAGGTTTTTGATCATATTTGTCTTCAAAGCAGTGCTCGCGTTTTGTGAAATAACCGAGTGAGCAGTTGTGAGCTTAGACATAAGGTAATTAGTAGGAGTAACAAGTCGGTTGATGAGATAATAAAATTTTCACAGACTAAGGTGGTTTTGCAATGTGTTATGTATCATCAACCATAGCTGATTTAAGTGAGTGAAGCTTGCAAGTGCAGAGGTAGGTTGGAAAAAGTTAGGAGCGTTCAAAACAAAAGGCGATTAATGGTGTTAGGAATTGTTAGATGTTAACTATCCGGTTAAGGTCCGCTTGATAACCACTATCAATGGTTGCATACGTTAGGTAACATGTTTCAGAATCAGTCATAGCCGCGTAGATCTATCTACTCATTATCTTCATCCGGATTGAAGTCCTGATACTTTCCCGTTTTATCATGCTCTCAAGATCATTAGGCATGAAACTGCATAGTAATTTGATTTTTGATGGATATATGGTCGTTTATGAAAAATTTGACCTCAGTTAATTCTAGTTGTGAATAAAAAAGTGAACTTTTAAAATAATCATGCTATTTGGTATGTAAATTAGATCTGTGTAAAACATTTTAGAGGAGACTATGGATATTCTACAACGACAGTAGTAAATTACCACCTTATTTACGAAAAGGATGATGTAAGTTGAAATAAAATGTGATTTGTCAATAGAAAAACAAACCGTATGTCTCCAGGTAACTAATGCATTGCTCTAAATATGAAACTATGAGATTCAGCTTCTGATAAGATTTCAAATTCAATTTATTCACCAAGTGTTGCGATTGGCTGCTATGTGGATAAAAGGTATGTAGCTAACTTCCCTTTTTCAGTCTAATTGTTCAAACAGGTTCTCTCATTCTATTCTAAATAAGGGTGAATTCGATCAGGGTGATTATATTTCTGTAACCTATTGCTCACAAAAAAATCTGTCAATAGATGAGTTCTAACATAATCAGTTAACAATAATCTGGGTGCAGAAAACTGCTTCTTGTTCATTTTATTAAAATTACATGTATTACCCAGAATGCAAAATCAATTGTCAATGGCATGGTCAAATTTGTTTTAAAACAATGATCCTAAGAAATGTTTATTTGTTAGGAATTTACTATTGAATTATGTAGAATAAATTCAAAAGATCTGAAATTACCTTGTGGACAATCACCTAATACTGATAAAGCTTGGAAACGATTAGAACAACAGACATAACGGACACGTATTCGGCGATCAGGATTGATAGAGTAATAGACTGTCCTAAATTTAAGGAGAAATGTAAATATTTAGAATAATTTTAGTAATCTATCAAATAGTTTATTGTAAGTTAATACATTAACTGTTAATATTTTGATCGTAAACTTCTTTTTTAAATGAAATCGATCAGACGTTTGTAACGTTAGAATCATTGAAACAAGGATCAAAAACAATACGTGTAGAAATGTCAGTCTATAAATAAACCGTTTCTTTTTCATTATTTTAATATCAGTTTGAAGGATATTGATCAAAGAAGATAAGGGGACCAATTACTTAGCTAAGAGACCCAACATCACAGTTAGCTATTTTTTGTACTTATTCTATATTTTCTCTTGTGTATCAGAAATTCTCTGGTTTCATACATTTTGGTAAAATAAGGCAAAACTATTCGTTACATAAATGAAGTGGTAATATAGTACAGATGGAGGAGGAAGAGCCTTGCAATCTAGAAACAAATAGAAATGGCGGTATTGAATTAGAGCTTTATTTTACCTCAAAATATAACCTAGAATAGTTTCCAAAACGTCAAGGAATTGAATAGAAATTTTTCGAAAAACACCACAGAAAAATCCAACAGGATAACGTATAGTTTCTGTTCTGAACCATATACGATAAAGTTTAAAGCCACTTAGTTTCGTGGTCTCTATGAACTTAGCCGGAGAATGGTTATGCACTAAGAAATCTTACTCCTTCATGTCACATGAGGCGAAATTAAATGGCACACGTAGCTTCAGAAAATTTACATCAGACTTCATGTTTGGCGGCAACTTGTGGAAAACTAACCATTTACGAACTGAGGACTATTGGACAATATATAACTATCAAACTCCCATAGATGAACTCCTTGCATCCATCAGCTCAGTTTAGGATTCGATCGTCCACTTTTCAACCTTTCAAAATGTTAAAAGCACCGCCACATGATAGGAGTGAGTAGGACTTACCCGACAGAGACTATAAACCTGTATCCGTATGATAGGATTTTCTAACAGAGCATACTTTCGATTTTCATATATTTCAGGGAGATTACAAGATCTTTAAATTTATTACTTGTTCCGACAGAATGTTATAAGTAACGTTGCAATAAAATAGTTAGGCCACCGTTAGGATGAGAACCATACTTAGTGACCAAAAACAGCCAGAAATCTATCGGTGTAAGTTTTAGAGTTATTATCGGAGTGTGATTTTTATCTGCATATTCATTTCAATAGCGAAAAGAAAAAAATGTGGTGAAACAGTATTTCTTTAGAAAGTTGGAATTTTGAACACATTCTGATGTGAATCAATAAGGAAATTAGGATTACTCGGGATATAAACTTGAAATTTACAGCTTTTGAAGTCCGAAAATGAATTCAGGAAAAGCAATTACCAGTGGAGAATTCTAGCTTTTATTGATTAATAGATATTAAGAGTCAATCAAAAAATTGTCTATAAAAACACATTCTTAAATATGTTCTTTATTCCGACTCAGAAGGATGTAAACGGAGATGTTGATATATGAACTGAATTGTAGTGCATTTGGAATGCAGTAAATTTATGAGTTGAAGAAAATTATATAGTCATTAATAACAAGCTAATTCTTTCTTCCTGTACTATATCCGTATACACAATCTTTCTTTAACACATTACTAACATTGAAGTGACTACTTCTATGAATTCGGTGTCCGCCTTGTTGTGCTAATGAGGTGTGGCAACTTGGACCGAAGCATATATATGCCTAATCCTACGTTGTAGCTGACTGACAGACGTACTGATGATAAAATTAAACAATCCCTAAAAAATAATTCAAAAACAATCCATTTAACTGCCATTTGATCCTATTTTGGGACCCCTCAGCAGTGTGCACCCACAATCCCACCCCGCGGGATTCGAACCCAGAACCTATCAGTCTAACCTAGCGTCTAACCACTAACTAGCATTAGAAAGAAGTTATTTCATGATGGATCAGTTAGATTGAACTAATTCTGTCATCAATTTCAAAATGATTATTTATTTGTTAATTGTTCATTTCTTATTGCATATTAGAGTGAACTTATAAGAACCTAAAAACTGAAACGTTCAGTGTTAAAAAAGTTAACGATATTAGAATGAAATAGTCTTATTAAAACAATAGCCTTTATGGAAATTTGTAGATAATGTTGTAACTAATTAAATTTAGCCTATGGAATGAAATTTTGTGAAATTCCTTAATTGATAAATAGTATTCTTAAAAGAAATTTACTTCACTTCACTTATTATAAAAGCTTATTTCAAAAATTGATTACTTTGAAGCATCTGTCCACAATAATGTTCCTTTATATTGTGTCATACCAAAAGATGGTTCTTCAGAAGGACTGAATTCTCTAATCTTTTCATTGGTTAATATCTCTCTACCTGTTTGACCTAATCGTGCACAATGTAGTTCAGTGACTAATCCAAACATTCCTTTAGAAGATCTTTGCATCCAGCATAATTTTCCAGCGGAATTACCATTAACTGGCGTTGCTGGTGATATACTAATTGCCAATGGTTCACCAGTTAGTTGTAATAATTGCTCCTCATTTTCACCAGACATTGAAGCCACTTGAATTGTACCATTCGGTCTCCAACCGTCTGTGTATATTGCCCAGTACATTAGACTGATTATAGCAGTAAAAATAAATAGGCAAGTAAATACATGTACATCTCAAAAAGACGAATAATTTGGAAATCCAGTGTCTAAATGGTATCGAAATTTAAACATATGAGGAATGTTCCCTTATTCTAGTTAACTGTAGCATTCTTAAGTAAGCGCAATGTGAAGCAGTGAGTATAATCCCTACCAACAGTTGTATAGAGAGGTAGAATTATAATCTATCACACAATTAATGTGTGTAATCGTGTATTTGGACAGTAAGGTAGATTTAATTTTAAATGAGTGTATGCTAATACTAGAGTATTTTTATAATGATAATAATATTCTTACATTCAAGACTAGTGTTTGAAATCATAATCATTTCGTTTGGAAATTTGGTAACTTGAAGCTAGTTACAGTAAACTTGAAGATAATATAACAAGTAATGGAATGCATTGAGCGTTGAATACAACCAATCATATTTACAGCCATCAATAGAAACTCTAGACACTAGAAAATTAAAGGTTTATGATTAAAACGTTCCGAATAGAAAGTTCGACACCATTAAAGTACATACACCAGCTATCAACTTATCTTTTAAAAAACGGAACGTATGTAAATATGTATAATACTTACAGATCTAACAATATTACTATATATTCATCTAACGATATTCTATTTACTCACCCTAATGTGGAGTGCAAAGCTAGCCCAGCGAAATTCTGTTGTTCAGATGAAGTTAGGCTATGTAAACTTTCAAGTGTATAATGAATATTTGGTTTATTTGGATTGAATACCATAATTTTTCCAAAGGCCTCTTCCCAGGCAAACACATTTCCAGACAATGAATCTACCGCCAAATTGCGAAATCGGTTAAATTGTGAAGTGTATATTTCTTTTGTCACCAATTTATTTTGTCCAGAGTTTGAATTACCCCATCGGATAGTATGACCATAATCAGATGTATATATAATTCGTTGACTATTACAATCACCGACCATGGAGACACGTCCATATTTGTTATTTTCAGCTAGATAGGGCAATAGAAACAGAAGTTACGGGTTACAGTTAAGATAAAATTTAGCTTGAAGGATAGTCTCCTGAAAAGTATATACATATGGATAAAGTAATTCAAACTGAAAATGATGCATCTGGAGGCCTTTATGATGATAAATTATGGCATTGGTAATTTTTTTATGATAAATTACACGTTATGGAACTAACGTTTAAACACTCTAGTTTTAAAATATTTCGATAAATTAGATTTAAACTACTTACTACTAACTCTCTTTTGCATCACCTGATTAATGTCGGAAACTGAGATCAGAGGTTTGTGGAAAGGGACCAATTTGAACTTAGTTTTCACCACAGATTAACATAAAACGGTTAATCATTTAAAACCAAGGATTGGTATCTGACAATTTTTACACCTTAATTTTGAATTGTATAGCATTACACATACGTAATCAAATCTGGTACCTTCAGTTATCTAGTTAAGGACGATACATATAAATTTTTAGTTCGGATTCCAGTAGTCTACTCTCAAACTTCGGTTGAACTTCCATATTGTGTGACAATATTTCAATGCTGTCGGTAACGTAGTCAAAGTGCAAAGATCACCGTTTAATACTAGAACTTCAGGAATCCAATACGAATTCAGTTGCTATACAGTACATGATTATTTTTAAGTTTATTTAAATTGAAATTTTTTGAGAAACCTTATATTAGAATAAAGCAACTCTCCAACAAACCAAGATTTTGAAAGGTTCTTCAACAGATGTCAGACTGTAATAAAATTAATTTGGAAAATTAGTTAATGTACTTCTGAAATATTGTAGAATGAGTAGGATTATGAAGTGTAACATCTACTAAAATCATATTAAAGACTATTTCATCAGTTGAATAGTCAAAAATCATGTAAGTATTTTAATGTCTAACTTCGTCCAACCTCATTTTCAAAGATTATAATTTTTAGTAGTCTCAAACGTCTTTATCTCTCTTCTATTTCTGCCAATTCATTTTTATAGAATATTTTGTTCCTTTTCTGATAAGAAGGAAATATCTGGAGTAGTTTGATAATTCTCAGTCATAGAATTATGCTAAATTTAGTAAGGGAGTTCTTTTTTAGTAAGATCGGCTAAATATTAAATCCGGTTGATTAAAATTGTTTTTCAAATATTGTGACTAGATTTTCAGTTTCATTACAGTTCGATAATTATCAAAGGTTATATGGAAGGGTTTGGATATACTGCATGACAGATTCTAAAGTTTCATTCTATATTAGGCAAATGATTAGAATCAGTTGCACATCTTGAGATGGAACAAGTTTGTTTTTTTTTCTCTATAGAACTAAACCAGTAAATATTCAGAAATGGTTCACAAACTTTGGAATGACATTTATTTGTCAGGTTAATGTAGTACGAAACTGTAACCGTAAAGCTTCAAAAAATATTTTGTTATATTAGAAAAAACCATTATGCAACTCGAGTTTAATCAGAAATAAAACTAAAGTCTAATCAGATTTGCAAGATAAGAGTGGCTGTAAATTAGAAGCCCAGCCTGATAAACAAGTTGATTGATCATTGTGCAGCAGCTGCGTTCTATTAATTAAGTGCAATTCTATAGAACTTGAGATAGAGTGTCGTAACTTAGACTGATGTGGATATTACAAATGATAGTTATGATTCCATCAAAACTATTGTCTAGATAAACGCTAGATTAGTTGTTGTGTGTGCTAGTTATTTCTGTTGACATAAGTAATACGTATATCAATAGGAAGTGGAAAACCTGTCAGCAGAAGGCTAGGTAGATTGAGTTGAGGAGAACAGAAGGGAAAACAGAAAGGAATTATGAACTGGAAGAATCATACAGAAAGTGAAAGACAAATGATGGAAATTCACAAAAGAAATATCCAGTGTATAATTTTTATATTTTACCAAGAGATTCTTTAATTATGTATTCCGATAGAATCGGTTATCACCCCTTGTATTCCCGTTCACAACATTACCTATTATCCATTGACTAGTTGCAGCTCGAATATTTCACTTACAATATCTCTGACCGCTATACTATATGAGGAGGATCAAATCCTACAAGAAACATCAACTCCCTCAAGAATGGGGATCACACCTTTGATTACAAATGCCCACTACCATAAAACTAGGTACTTTTTGTTATCTGCTTTCAACCACCTAATATTCGATTTTTTAGGGCGAAATTTAAAATCTTATTGTTGCCATAGAATAAATAAATAAAATTCCATGTATATGGCAATGAAGATGTGCAATGTTACATCTTCACAATTGATTGATCACTGGGTGGTGATCAATGTCATGTGTGTCAAGTCCTTATTTAGTGCATATCGAATGCTATCGACCATGTTGCAATGTGGTCGCGGCCCGGATAGCTCAGTGGTAACGTCTCTGACCGTGAAGCTGGGTGACACGGGATCGAATCCGCCAGGGAGCACCAGTTCCCTCAAGATTACAGGTACACCTTGCCGACGAGTGCCAAGTAGCACGAAACCCGGGTCCAGGATTTCTTGTCGACTATTCCAACCATCATCTAATGTTACATCTTAAATCAAGAAAATCATTACAAAGCTCTCAAACTATTAGTTACATATACTGTGGTGTGTGCTACTTATATTGACATAAGTAGTAGATGATGTTAGTCGTGGACAGAAGGTCTGGCAGCAAAGAGACAAGAGGATCGAACAGTAAAGAATGGAAACAGGATGCCATTTGTATGAAAATGCAAGAATAACGAATTCTGAGTCATTTTGAGACAATTGGTGGACATTTTGGAAATTACGTATTTACTATTTGATTGTTAGATTTTATTAACAAGTCCTGTAAATTTGTGTTGAATACATTCCATTGTCCCCATCCGTGTTCTTGTTCACTACAATACCCCAAGACGAATATCATATTGGTCAGATCAACTACTACTTTAGAACGATCAAATATACAGATGAGTATATCATATAAACTATACCATATCGTATAGATAAAATAAAAACAATAATATAGCATGATTCTCAATTTATCACTTACCAATATTCCATAGAGTAGCTTTGGTTACATTTGAATCGGTAGATTGTGTCATTAAAATCCCATCATCACTTGTAAGTAGTACAGTGAATGGAACTTAAAAATCAAATTGATCAAAAGTTTTAGGATTATATTTTTCTTCGGCATAACAGTTCGAAAGATTGTTAAAAGACTAAAGATGGATTACTACTTAAGAAAATTTTTAGTGTTAATACTTACCATTTCTATCACTTATTTGTTTTATAATCGTCAACAGACTTCAATGGAATATTCTATTATTTCGGAATTATTTAGATCTGCTAGCCAATCTTAACCAGGGTTCTGTTCATTTGAGTGATCATGTTTTGATGAAATGAAACGACTAGTAGTCATAACTTAAATAAGATTATTTGATGTGATGAATGAATGAATGTGATGAATTTTTCATCGTAAAACTGGTATCTTAATAAAGACAATTCATTTCAGAAAGATAGCAGTGACTTAAAGTAAGAAAACTTATGATGGAATGAAATCCCAGATCCTATAAATTCGATTATATAAGCCTATATCTTTCCTGTTACAAAACACAATATAAAAAATTTATAAAAACTTTCGTACAGATTTAATCGAAAAGTTTCATAGTAGTTGGGCCGCGTCATCGGTGAGGAAAATTATATTCTTAAAAATCATAGCCATACATTTGATTTCAATAGTACAAGAATCCTTCAAATGGTTTTATTTCATACAAAGTGAGATTAACATCTGAAGCTTTACACATATGGGCAAATCCAAATAATATTAACGGGAGAGATGGAATACTATTAACTGTGACATGGCAACTAATGATTGATAAGTAACAATGATCTCCATTTTACTGTTTACTAACTTAAATCCTATTTTTATTATGTGGACAACAATGATTACATTTACTTGTTCCAATCAGTGCGTTTATCTGAACTAGCAGCTTGGTCAACATGCTTGTTTATCTATCCTCATTTTATGCGTGCTGTGACACATTTGATTCATATCATTTAGTCAATTGTTTATTTTCATCAAATGGATTTTTCGCACATTTGATCTGCATGAATATACATAAAATTATTATCATAACACGATTTTCTAAACCTCCCACACCAAATGTCTCATACGTTGTTACCATAGTTGGACGATGTGTTTAGCATACGGCTAACCTTTGAACAAAATACTTAAGTTTGATTATATTTCCTTGAAAAAGCTTGGATCAAATTACTTAAACTCTTCCCAGTATTTTAAAAAACTGAATTCACTTAATCATAAGTACAAAATTAGTTCAAAGTTAAATTTACAAACATACTTGCTGATTCTTCCACATTTACATCTATGAAAGCAGCAACATTCCCTGCACGGCACTCATACCTTCCACTATCAGTTATTGTAGGTTGATTTATACGCAGGGAAATTTCATAGCCATCTTGTTGTCTAGTTTTAGTCACTATTGGTTCTTGAGCGGAATGTGGTTGAATCCACTGGCCGGAATATGATTGATCGCTTCCAGTTACGAAACATCTTAATTCAAGCGGATGAGATATATCTGTAATATTCATTACTTCTCCTTCTCCCATTATTCGAACTTTTAAAGAATCTGGAAGAAATATATATTGGTTTATCATATTTAATAACAACGTCATTTTTTCATGATGACTGTTACCAATGATTTCATACAAAAAATAGTAGGTAATAAAATGAAAATTTTGATGTACATTGGGTAGCATATGTAAATGGATCCGAAGTCGGACAGCTTTCTAATAAAAGGTCACCTACGCTAGATGCATCTAGGTCTCTTCACAAAGCTATCATTTATGAATAAAGGGGTCAAGAAAGATATTTCTTGAAAAACCAATACATTGATGATCGAACTTACCTTGCCTAACTGGAATTTGTTCACAAAATGTTTGTCCATCTCCACGATAACCAGATGGACAAATGCATCTTTCGTTTTCACGATCACAAATAGCACTCGGATGACACAGCTTACAATTCCAGTAGCAACCCCTCTCTCCATCTCCATCATAACCTGATCGACATTTACATGTTCCAGTATATCGATCACATTCCGCATTTCGTATCCTACAGCCTCCACCGCACGTAGGATCAAAGGCGTGTGATGATGTGGTATCTTCTCTACCTACACTTTCAGGCTTGCAAACAGATACTCCATCTCCAGTAAAACCAGCTTTACAATGACATGAATAGGCGCCATTAAACCTGTCATCCGGTCGACAGGCGGCATCCTGATGACAATTGTCTTGCACACATTCCATACAGACACCTGCCTGAACTTCAATAAATCCACGAGCACAAACACATCGCCCACCAACACACTGAGCTATTTCTTTGAAAGGTATACCATTGCAATTACCACAATCTGCTGAAGTTGCTGTATTTAAATAGAGATATAAAGAAACACAATATAATCATATATGTACATCTTCGTACATATGATAGATAATTTCATTGCTGACAGCAAAGCTGACAAACAACCCATTGTAAACTATCGAAAAATCTCCTCGAAATTGCGGCCTACTTAGTTAAGGAATATCATTGAACTATGGTGTCACAGTGTTTAGGAATTTTAATGTTTTCAAAGGGTTATGAAGTACAACTAACTTCTAAGGTTTATCATCTAACTTAGTGGAGGAATCTTATCAAGTTCTATAAGTAGAATATATCATAGTCATCCATCAGATGCTTGCATATGAGTCACGCTTTAAGTGTGAGGGCTAATGATACTATCCGGTTTCCCAAACTGAAGTAGGTGAGGAGGAGTCTGAACCTGGTACTGAATAGAGGAAGTTCGAGCTTCCTAGCCGCTAAGATAACGCTCCCTATATAAATTAAGTTAATAATGATAAATTCCCTCGGAAAACGAAACAAGTGTTATTAAAACTACTTTTGTTGTTGAACTCGTACATCAATCCCTTAATTTGTACGTCATGAGTATAAATGTTTGTTTTTCGTTACTCCCTAAGTTAAACAGTAATGATCTTACCTTATTACTTCTTTCATCTGAGTAGGTTTGCAAGCTACGTCCGTTCAAGAAGGCTTAAATTATTTTTTATTGCACAAGCATTCACAGTTACGTTTTTATTTGGCAAGATGAGATAACGTATATCTCACAAGTCTCAGTCCTAGTTGTTTTTACACTTTCAAACTAACCAAAAGTATTTATAATTAAAGCGAAACGTTGACGGCTTTCTGAAGTTCAACTCAAACTTGCACCTCAAAAATGTTTTCACTAACTAGTGTTAATAAAATGTTATCAGTCATAATATTTAGATCATGCTTGTCTAAGCAGTGCAATTAGGCGCCAATGTTAAGTGGATTAAAACTGACAATCATCCGATCATTTGTCTGTAGGTGGAGAACTATTCCAACTTTCAAGGAGTTTCACATCCTAAAATACAAACTCTAGGAGATATTTTTGATATGGTATTGGATCTAACGAGGTTGAATAGGTTAACCGCTAAAAAACTTCATTCCACAGAAGAGAGTTTGTAAGGGACTTCATAGTTTTCGAGAAAAGGTAACCAAATGAATACAAACAGAGAATATTTATAATTTTACATAATCAGCAAAAATCGATATCAGCTGGGCAGCATAATAATATTGAGGTACAAAAGGTTCCAGCAATTAATTATTTCTGTAACAGTCTTAATAAGTTGTAATATTGGTTTAGATCAGTTACAGCAATCTCGACTTCAACTGTTTTTGTACCTTTATTTGAAACATCATGATGGATTATCTTTTTTCAAATAAGCAAACATTTATAACTGTTAGTGTGCCATTACGAGTGATTTGACAAATAAATATACAAGATTATATTTACCTCCAGGTATTATATTACACATCTGATAGCCATCTCCTTCGTATCCATCCAAACAGCGGCACTGACCTTCAACACATCTAGCGAACTGATGGCATTGTTCTGCCCGACATAGATCTGAAGTTAATATTTTACAAAAGCAATTATACTGAGTATAGATGGGGATATATTTGACCTCATCTAGGGGTAAGCATATCATGCTATTTTTCAAAAAGTTCAGAGCATAAAACGTAGAAATGCTTTGGAGAGTATATGAAAAACATTTTATTATGCAAGGTAGTTGATTTCTCATACGAATATAAAATGGTTTCAAATTAAAGTTTTATATTTTATTAGTAACTCATTCCAAAAATGTGTTTGACTATGTTCTGTATGTTATATCTGTTTGTTTTAATGATGTTATGATGCGTGTGATAATGCCAATAAAGGTTTAAAAATAACTATCTAAATAAAAATAAACATGCTTTAATTCAAGTATTTGAAGTTTTTCGGTCTTATTGGGATAGGAACAGAGCTTACCACTTTGTATAGGTTGACAATTCCAATAGCCATCACCTTTATAACCATTTTTACAGCGGCAAAACCCATACTCACACTGAGCTTGGGGATGACAGCGAATACGTGCACATGGATCTCTATCTACATTAGGGTTTTATAGAATTGACTGATATAAAACATGATTATGCAAAGAACGCTTTTAAAAACGCTTCATATACGTATATATGAATGTCCAGTTCAGTACGTACAACCCGATTACTCGATGCTCGAAATTCAGTTACAAATTTTTTAGAGGCATATCTATCACAGTATTTCACATACACTCTTGATGAGAAATAATAAAAGATAAGTTATATTAAGATTTTTGGACATTCTACAAAATATACTATGTAGTATATGTACTTATTTGATAGCGTCTGTAGCATTTCGTCAATTGATAAAAATCTCATTAACCTGAAATGCTATTGCCACGTTAGTTTGTGAATCCAAGTGACAGGCTACAGTTTTAGCCTCATAACTTACTTTAACACTTACAACATAATGGTACTTATCATCACATCTGATTGCAACTGTACTTTTGCACCTAAAAACAAGTTATTGTAACACGGTTTAGTTCTTTTATTAACGACTTGTATGATTATTTGGCCGATAATATGTAATGTTAGAACAAAGATAAGAACTCGAATGATACAATGACACAAAGTTTATCAGAACTATTTTATATATTGTCTCAAAACAATTTAAAAAATCTGGGCAGACCTTAACTTGTTGGGATATTTATATGTGGGAAGTAAGGGTCAATTTAGACAGATTTGAAGGTAAGAAAAATAAAATAAGGAAATACATAATAAATTATATCATTATGGATATTAGATCAATATTACCAGGGTAGGTTCAATGTAAGTACTAATATAAGGTACCTAAACTTTCAAACGGCCAAAGCCTCATTGAATCGACATATTTTCTGTAGATAAGTGATATATGAGTGCATAAATTCTGAGTTAAGATCAACCGTACAACTTGTTTGAACTGTATATTTGGTGAAGGGATGAGAGTGGTGTTTGTCATCTGCTTTTATTAGGATATTAAGCTTTATTTGTTTTTAGGGTAATTTTGGTACCTCTTCAGCCATTCCGAGATGGAAATCATCATTACTCTTCCATATATATATATTGAAATATGATACAATCGTTTATATACTGTTTTGTGTTTTGGTTAGGTATGAACATTTCTTTGTTTAATTATAATGACGTTTGATGCACAGTGCCTTCTACTGATAACCACTTCAAGCCTTCGTTATGGCGCGGGGCTATTTAACGTACCTCTGAGCGATAAGATGAAATAGACTTATTTTTAGGTCCCAAAAGTATAGTAGTTTTCAACATACTCATAGGTTCATGCTTTCCATTGGGTATCTGCTGTGTATCACATCGTTTAACAGCTTGACTGCATCCTCGATAGTATAATTGTATAGAAATGGTCGATGCTATTGAATATGCCCTTCATTACACCTCATTTTTATTGAACTGTGCAGTAACTACTGACAAAATATCACAAAAGTCTGGTAAGCTTCTCCTTTTTCTTGCCTTATCCAAACTTACCAAAAGGCTTAATTGTTTTGAATCTCAAACCTTTGTCCGGACGTTCTCTGGTTATTGCAAATTGGAATTCGAAACATTTAGATTATAAGTGCAGGGGATTTGCAGAGACTGTAGTATTTTCACCATAGAAATAGTGAATGGATCTGAGCTAGATCACTAGTGAGAGCCTGGAAGCACTGAACAGTCGTTTAGAGATTACCAAATAAAAAATCTTCTTCTAAACAAATCCTCATCAGGTTCTTAAATTAGTGGCAGTGAACGTTTTTTAACTTGACTAATTTCTAACAGAAGAACCTATTGAGAACTTATTGAAAACAAAATTCTCCACTTATAAGTGGCGAATATAAATTTCGTCAAACGAAATTTCAGTAACTATGGTAAAACATTTGATGACTCCACTAATGTTCTTGTCATGAATGGTTAGGTCCTCGTTAAATTTGGCTTGTTGAATAAATTTGATTAACGTACACACGGAGTTGCTGAAACGCTAGAAATGATTTATAGTCCAAGAAGATAGAATCTATATAGCATCCTCAAAGTTGTATTAATCAGTCGTTGAAGTTCAATCATTCAACTGGATGACTCCATCGGCACGTAGTTTGAGAAGAAAAAAAATTTGAAAATACACTACTTATTAACGAGGTAAATATTGATGGAGTCACCTGACTTGGTGGTTAAAAAGCCCATCATCGAGTGTAAAAATGACAAAGAAAAATCATAGATTTAGTTAGATATCCCAATAACATTACAATTAATTAGCTAGTAACACATAAAATCATGGATAAAAGGGTGCTAAACATTTAACAAAAAGCATGTGCTGTAAGCACGTAGCACTTGTTAGTTAACAAAAGCATCTACACATTTACTTAAAGACAGGCGACACAGCGACTAATCAGAGCAAAAGAACATGAAGTAAAATACATTTCTGATAGTACATTTATTAAATATTGAGCACAACACGGACAAAATCTGTCTATTTAACTACTTCCAAAGAAAGCGTGCACACATAAACATACACTGGCACAATCAATTCCTCATGCTAACTTGCTAATTACGTGAATGCCTTGCCACATTTACTCACCTTCACTTTTACGTCTACACTCACTGTAGCCATCACCCTCAAAACCTTCTTTGCAACGACAATACCCGTCGTCACATTTAGCATTTTCATGACACCGAACATTCGCACAGCGATCTGAAAATATTAACATTTCTCTCTTAAATAGTTTTAAAGTAGTACTGTACTGGTTGTTGCACAGTAGAGAAGCATACTGCATATCATACACCGCATGCATATCGAAAGAATTCAAAATAATTCCACCAATTAATTCATGTTGTATTTATGAATCTGGTCATAGCAGTTAACTAGAAATCCGTCAATGAATTACTTACTACTGAATCTATTTCGACGTTTCATTATGATTACTATCATTTTAAGCTTAATAGAACACCTTAGTTACTTTGAAAGCTTATACAGGAAGTGTTTTCTTCATTTTATATGAGCTAGTACACTCAAACTATTTTTAAAGACGGAAGACATGAAGTATGATGGCTTTTATTTTCCAGAATTTTCTTCATGCATTATTTAGTTTTATAAGCAGATGTGAATAATTTTATTTCAATATTTGCACATGCAAACATTCATATCAAAGAGTATAGTAAGTGTGTAGTTTAAAGAAATGATCTCATTGGATGTTTACAGAATTATAGAAAACATTATCTGGAAAACAGTAAAAATCATAATGAAAATTGGAAGGAAAACGTTGCAGCAGTAAAAGCTTAGACTTCTGGTGAACTATTCATATATATTTCTTGGTTTATGGTTCAAGTTATAAGGTAAAATGAATAGATTTTCAAGGTATGCATCTAATAGGTAGAAAAATAATGAGTAAAGATTATAAATGAAATGAAAAATGATACGTAGATATTCAATAAAGTGATTGTATAGAATGAGATGAATATACAAGAGGTTCCTCAAAATCATGTCAACAATAACCTTTTTTTTCTAAACATATAATAGCGGCTTAAAAACATGATCAACAATACCTTGGTTGAACAGAAACCCCTTTCTTGTATTTCTTTCGAGCAACCAAGTTAAAATATTCACAGTGGTTTGAAAAAATGTTCCTAAAGGATTCAAGCACCTCAAAAATTCTTTAGCTATTTTCCTTCATTATCTTTCTTCTCAACATTCTGCCGCCAGGCGTTCCACTTACATACTACTTACATCCGTCGACTTCAGTAGCACACACCACAATAGTATTTATATGAAGTTTTTAAATTAAGAATAATAAAGATGCAACGGATGTGCTATAGTCAAAACAAACTTATATGGTAACTTCAAGACATGCATTATTCTACCTTGAGTAATTCGTTTACACTCATAATATCCGTCTCCTTCGAAACCAGCAGGACAGAAACAGTAACCATCAGTACACTGAGCATCTGGATGACATCTCACTCGTGAGCACTTATCTGCCAGTAATGATTTGAACAATTTGTAATTAAATATTAATTGTAATGATAAAAATGTTGATTTATTTTTAACATCGCAATGAACAGAATATTAAAGTTTAATCATTTCTCGACTCATGGTAAAACGCTTCATTAAAGAGTAAAAAAACTATTTCATGTTGATGCAAGTTAAAATAATAAAAGGAACTATTTACATCAAATATTGAGTGCATTCATGTAAATCTGATAAATGGAAATGACCAAGTAATTTGATTAGTAATTGTTTGCAACATGACTTCGGGCACGATAAATAGAACTGTATGAATAGATTGTCTAAATGGTTGGATACTTAGTCCATTTTGGTTGGTAATATTAAGGATTCAGAGATAACACGAACTGATTGAGTTACTTACCTTGTTTTATAGTTATCGAAAACATTACGGATCATTTGAGCATGTTAAATATCATTAAAATGGTTACTTAATGTGGAATGTACTGCTAACGTATAGTTGATTTGTAGATTTTTAATATCAATAGGATTATTTAATTATTTAAACTAACTTTATTATACTCTTTATTATACTTCACGAGAAGATTCTTTGGAAGAAAATGTAACGGCCTCCACATAGCCTAGTCGATGTAAATATATGTGTTTTTTATATCGAATCCCTAAGCTCCATATTACCTTACAATTTTTTGTAGTTTTTCTGTCGTAATTTGGCAGTAGGGTAGGACAACTGACGATTTATGATTTTAATTTCGTTTTTCATTCATTAAGAAATCGCTGTATTTCAGTACGTTTTCATTTATCCTCTTAATAAGTGACATACATTAGTCTACAAAGAGTCAATAATTTTATTTCCTAGTCGCTGTTATAAATACATATTTACTTTTAATATTAAGAACTGTCTATCCAAACTTTAATGAGTCTGGAATTATTAAATCAACCCTAAGTAACTTTACTTACGAGATATTAAACAGTTTTTAACTTATTAACTTTGAGTTGTTGTTGTTTACTTGTATCTTCCCATTGTTATTTAGCACTGCATTTGACCAGTCTCTTGTTGGCATATGTGCATTCCGTAAGAACTACTTTGATATTATCTTAGGTCAGAATCTCTATAAGCAAAGATGGATAGTGTTCAGCAGTGGAATCCAAGACGCGCGTTTCGTCCCATTTGGGACTCGTCAGCTGGATTTGCCTGTATCTCAGTTTTGATTTTCACTCTGGCACTCGGACCCAGTGTAGTGAACGAGAACACGGGTAGGAACAATCGAATGTATCCAACACAAAATTACAGGACTTGTTAATAAAATCTAACAATCATAAAGTAAATGCTTAATTTGCAAAATGTCCACCAATTGTTTCAAAATGACTCAGACTTCGTTGTTCTTGCATTTTCATACAAATGGCATCCTGTTTCCATTCTTTACTGTTCGATCCTCTTGTCTCTCTGCTGCCAGACCTTCTGTTCACGACTAACATCATCTACTACTTATGTCAATATAAGTAGCATACACCGCACCATGACCGTTCGCTTCAAACGCCATCGCGTTATCCACTCAGCTACTGAGTCCTAATAGCCACTTGCTTGGGCAATGGGGTGAATTTAAATTCACTTGGTACTGTTTTGTTTGTATCTCCCCATTGAGATTCAAGACTGCAATTGATCAGCCTGTTATTGACATGAGTGCATACTGTGCGTATTGCCTCGATATATGTATATATGACATTTAACCATTATGTGTAATCTTCATGGGAAGAACTACATAAATAGTAACTGTGCTGAACAATCGGATTACTGCGAACATCGACAATAATCTCCACACATCGGTTCATTGCAATTTAAGATATTGAATCATCAGAAAATTAAGTCATATACATGAATCCAGTGAACACTAGTCTAAGTTAAACAGAAATACAACACTAACTTACATCTATCTACGATTGTGCTCGTCTCAAATAAAACAAACAAATAATTCGGTAGACAACTATGAATGTATGTAGAATCACACTAAATAGAGGGGAAAACTGAAATGAAACTATCTCATAGGAAATTCCAAAAAAACTCATATAAAAATATCTACTTTTAAGTAATTTTTAGTACTAATGTTAACTAATCCAAGGTTCTGATGTAGTGAATTTCAAACTACTTATTCCTCAAATTATCTTTGAGACCAAATGAAAGTCCAATTCACTTATTACTTACTGACAAAATGAAATACAGAGTAATAAATTTTTGAAAAAAAGTAAAACAATGACTTAGTGATTTAAGTAATCAACCTTCAATTACCAGGTTACAAGTTCTGGGCTTAATAATCAATAGAAATTTTAGCTACTAAAGATATCCAAAGTATAATGTTAATGTGTCAATAACAATACATTGTCTTATAATTTTATTGTTTCTAACCTGAAAATAAAAGGAATAACATTACAATTTACTGGATAGAAAATAATTCAAAAAGTTTAAAATAATAACAAAATTATTTTTAGAGAAGAAAAATGAATCTTACCTTCTGTAACTGGTCGGCAATCTGAATAACCATCACCATCATAACCAGTAACACAACGACACTGTCCTCTATCACATGTAGCATATTGATGACATTGTACATTACCACACAATTTCACTATAAAACCAATAAAATTTCAAAACTTACAATAACTGAATTAAAAGTATAGATAATCATTTGACTCTCTGTAATCAACATAAATCATATTGAATTTAACTAGAAAATCTATTGAAATATAAATTGTCAGTAATTCTTTTCAAAAGTTTTTTTCTTCATTTTGGTTATCTATTCTCTGAAGAAGTGACTCACACTAAGCCACGAAACGTCAGAAAATCTAATTTTTCTACTCATTGGGATATTACAAATATACTATTTATTTATAACTGATCAGTGATGTTCAGGTTGGTTTATTTTATGTACAGTAAGAATATGAGTTACCCGATGTGAAATGTATTCGAAATGTAACACATTCTTGTTATGAATGATCATATACACTGATCAATGTGTTAAGATTTATTTATACAATTAAAGAGGAGATAGCAAAATTAATAATTAATCCAAGACAAGTTTTCACCTAGAGGATATTTGCCAAATACAAATACACTATAGATATGAATTTATATACATAAATTGGTTGATTCATTATTAATTATCTGGTAAAATGTTTATGTTTCAAGTAGAATATGAAATTGGCAAAAATAAGCAGTAATAATTTTTTAAACAATCAGATATTATAATTAACGATGAAATCTTCTATAAAGTTTTACATTTAACTGATTAGAATTTACTTACCACCCTCGGCTTCTCGACATTCATTGTAACCATCTCCTGTATAACCAGGATCACATACGCATCGACCATCTTGGCAACGTCCATTAGCAGCACAACGAACGCCATCACATGGATCTAGAATAGATATTTGAGAGATAGACATATTGAGTTGTATGTATACTTACTAGCGTATTCTACTAATTACTTTATGAATATCAGATTTATATGCAAGCAAAAATACTGTAATTAGAAATATTGATCAGATGAATGGCTGTAAAGGAACTTCCTGGTCATTATAAGATCTTAAATATTCTAATGTTTATATTATTTTCAATCAATAATAAAAAGTAATTTAATTTACGAAAGCATATTCTTCTCCTTAAATATATGTATAGAGAAATATGTTAAACTAAATGACATCTTCACTTGGTATTGTTTGGCTTGTATTTTCCCATTGAGGTTTAAGACTGCAATTGATCAGTCTGTTATAGGCATATGTACATACTGTGCGTATGCCTCGATATTACCTTAATTCACGAGCTATTTGTAAGCAATGATGGATAGTGGCTAGCAGTAAAATCCAGGATGCGCGTTTGGTCCTATTTGGGTCATCTTTACAGATATGATGAAGTCAACATCTTATTGATTCTTATAGTTACTAAACCTTTTAGCTTATTTTCAGAACTGATGAAAACTTATATTTTAAAAAGAATTAAACATGAACTGGTCATTTTCAAATGCATGTATCGAAGAGATTTTCATTACTAGAGTAGTAGAAGTTGAAAGAAACTAAAGGCTGCAAACTAAGAAATAACTTGTTTTAGTGTTATTTATGTTAAAAACATGAATCTCGTCATTGGTAAAATCTGTTGTTTGATAATTACGTAACAGAAACCTAAGTTTGTACTATATAATGACTTCTTTAGTTCTGCTATTAACTCTGTAAATTTGTAAACAGTAATCGATACTTGATACTTTAGTTATGAACTTTTCAGATTTGTAGTTTTATGTTATTAAAATTTATTGACAACTTTAATGACAAGTTCAAGCACTGAATCGATGCAATTAACTCTATGTCAATCTGTTAAAAGATCATAGTAGAAGTCTGTAAAATGAAAATATGAATGACTAAATTTCTTGTGTGAAGTAACAGAGAAGGTAAATAGAAATCCTGAATATTTCCTGAGTTTTAATAATAACAAAAGTGTAGCAAAGATCACTTTGAATACGGTTAATAATTTTAGGTAAAGCATAAAAATGGAATCTGTTATATCTAAAGCTTGGATTCTTAGTATATCACGTATGACGCGAGCACTTGAACGCTGGAACCCTCCAAGTCGCAAATAAGAAAACATAAGAAGACTGGAGAAAGTGCTTGTTGGGCAAGAATCAAAATGTACAGAAAATCATGGGTATTTATAGATATTAGCGTCTGTTAAATCAACATTATAATTCAATCAATCCGCAAAGAGTTATGCCATGCTACTGACCAATAGTAGCATGCAGCTTTGATATTCTAGAAAGCTTCATTGTGTCCTGGTTGGATGAAACTCTTCGGCCTTCTAGGGTCTCTGGAGGCTCCTTCGTAGTTCTTGGAAGCTATCCCAACAGAATCAACCAAAATTAAAAACTTAATAGAGCTAACTAGGTTCATAAACATTTTTTAAATATCTAAGGAAAGGCTTTAATGCTTTTTGATTATGCACCTCTTAAGTAGTTAATTTTGGTAATCAAATAAGCTTTCCTACAGTTGAGAAATTTGCTTGATAATAATAATAATTGAATGGCTGACAAAATTGTTAGAACAACTACAACATTCGAGTTATTCTAAATTTTCGTTGATAATTAACTACGTTAAATGTTTTGTCTCACTGGTTGTTAGGATGGTGGAGAATCGTGGAATTGTGAATTGATTTTTTTGACGTTATATACACTTGGTTTGTTTGTCAATTGATTGTGAATTCTGTTTTCTAACTTTCAATCTATTTTCACCTTATTAACTAATTCATTGTAAATTTGTGTTCAAGTGGAAATTGTACAGCTTAGTTTATACAAATCTGATTAAATCACTTTTTATGTCATATGAAAAATGAGTGTCTTCCGAAAATGATAATTCAGTTTGTTTTGGATGTCAAACAAATCCCTGTTCACCATTTTCATAATCTTGCTTGAGTCAAACTGTTCACGATTTCTCGTTGAAGTTTCTTATTCGTCATAAAACCCAAAATTTAAACAGTTCTACTTGCAGTATTTTGAGAATTTTCAGCTTGAAAGTACCAAATACATTTCATCATATGAGTTGCCAGCTTACATTACATCAGGGTTAACTAAACTTGAGTTTATTTATAACTGATCTCTAAATACTATTCACCAATGTATCAAATTATTTCAAACGTAGAAATATTCAATCATAAAAAGGTATATAAAATCAAATTAAAACCTACCGTTTGCATGTGCATCACAAAAGTTAACCCCATCCCCAACGTATCCATGACTGCAGTAGCAACGATTTTCATAACATTGACCAAAACGATGACATTGAACACCAGCGCATAACTCTGTAATATTTAAGATTGGCACTCAAAACAATTATTTGTTCTGCTTAGAAATTCAATAAGTTTTTTTTGAATTATGACAAACGGTAGGTTAGAAAAATTCTTAAGTAAGAATATAAGTAATGTGGTATAAATACCTAGGTGAATAGTGTGTTCTTCTTTAGAAGAACCAAACATAAAGATCAATATGAATTACATCATCATTAATATGTTTCAATTAGTAGGAAATAAATGTAGAAGTTAAAGTTGAAAGCATGGACGACGTTTATCATTTGTAAACAATTAAAGAAATCTACAATAAATCCAGAATAAATTAAAATCTACAAGAAAACTGTACATCATTTATGAATCCACTAATCTAGAAATTAAAACCGAATACTATGATAATTAAGCTTAGGGGATTTCTAATGTGTTAAAAAGTATTTTTTTTTAACATTACTAAGGAAGTTTAGTTAAAAGAGTATTTTTAATGATAAAATATCGGTCAAAAGTAATCGTTTTGTTTATCATTCAATCTATAATGTTACAAAATCAATTTTTTAGAGAAATCAGAGCTTTTATTATGCAACAAACAATAAGTTCAATATTTATTATTTCATAATTTTAATAGTTGAGATCATGAGTCAATTGAAGCTAGGCCATCATGCAAAACCTGAAAGCATTGAACAGCTATTTCGTCCTAGTACGAGACTCCTCAGCAGTGCGCATCCACGATCCCGCCCAGTGAGATTCGAACTCAGGAAATATCAGTCTCGTGCATGAACGCTTATCCATTAGACCACTGAGCCAATTCATGAAATTGAGTCACCGTCCACCATTGTCTTCAATGAGTTATTATCTCACAACAGATGCGGTTGAACTCCACTGTTCACTGCTTCTCACTTGAACTCCAGGATATACCTCTTGAAGCCAGTCACTAGTGAGCATATGATGATTATTATCAGGAGGTCCAGAGGTCAGTGCGAGACTAATAGGTCCTGGGTTCGGATCTTGTGGGTCGGGGTCACAGATGCACACTGCTGAGGAGTCCCATACTAGGATGTAACGGCCGCCCAATGCTTTCAGGTTTTCCATGCTGGGGTCTAGCTTCACTTGGCTCATGAATTCAACTATTAAAATGACTAAAATCTCTAGAAAACTCCCCATCCGATATTATTTAATAATTTGATTTTTACGTAAAATGAATCACTAATTGCTAAAAACATTCATAAAAACGAATACAAAAACAAAGGAGTTCAAGACAATTATTTCTTCCAAATTATCAAATTAATAGTAAACACTAAGTAAACCGTTACTTCAGTAAGAAAAAAATTTCATGATAAAAGACAATATTTATTAAAATGACTGTCCTCTATAAAAGTATTACATTTCTTAGTAAAACAAAAATGATGTGTATTGCAATTAAGTCTTCACTATTAATCAAGACCAAGTAATTATGAAACGTAATGTGTAATTCATCTAGGAGAATATATTATTTTTTATGACACGAGTTTAATAATTTCATTCCTTGTTCAACGTGTAAACCTATAAACTGTTGATAAATGAAATAAAGTTCAACAAATCAACATTAAATGTATGAGAACAAACTGAAAAATTTAATTTTGAAATAAAACATAGAGAAGATTTGTAGCTGGAGTTTTATTCTCTGAGCTGGATGGTTTGGTCATGGAGATCAGAGAACAAAACTCCATCAAAATAAAACGTGTTTATCATGTTTTGAGTTAACAAAACTCAAGCTGAAAATATTTAAAATAGTAACAAGTTTTAAAGTAGAAGAATAATGATAACTTTTGAAAAATTAATAGTTAAACAAAGAATATTCTTATCGACTAATTCTCTTTAGGTTCTACAATGATATTTCAAAATAGATAATCCGAAAAATGGTCAGGTTAAGGGTAAATTGAATCATTTAAAGTTTAAGCATGTGAATTTAGGATTGTCAATCAAAATAGGATAAAATGGTTATTGATTGAGATAGTAAATCGATTGATGTTAGACCAACATTGAAAACCTCAGCAGTACTCACCCATTATCCCGCTCGCAGGACTCGAACTCAGGGCCTTCAGTCTCGCGCGCGAACGCTTAACCTCTAGACTACTGAGCTAGCATCCAACGGTGCTAGTGTTTGAAGAGTCCCACAATAGGACGTAACGGCAGTACAGTGCTTCCAGGTTTTCAATGGTGGTCTAACATCAATCGGTTCATGATCTTAATCAAATACTTAATATTCTCCACAACCCTATACTGAAAATTTAGAATGTTAACTTGAATCTTTTTTAAATTTTAAGTGACTATTGTACTTACGACCTTTCATAATCAAATGTAATTATCTCTGTTATCTCTATTCACAAAACTTTGTACTGTTATTATTATTACTACTGGTTAAACATGATTAATGATCTCTCAATACATGATTCATATCTCATTCATCCCACCTTATTATGTCTTAGTAATAATTTTTTACACAACATTGTCTTCCACTAAACATTTGATCAAATTGCAATTGCACTATTATTTCTCTCACCTTATCTGACCCATATTTATTCTAATCATGGATTTGAACATTTCACTTAGCATACAAGCAGATTTAAGTTAACATTCTAAATGTTATATCAACATTAACAATTTTATTCTATTTTATTTACTAATCCTAAATTCACATGTTTTAACTTTAAATGATTCATTTTACCCTTAACCTGGCCATTATTCGGATTATTAATTTGGATATATGTATTCTAGAATCTGAAGTGAATTTATCGTTCAAATATTCTTCGTTTAATATGATGGGGATCTTTAAACGATAACTTTGAATTCATTTTTATACAATTTTATCTCCAGTATTATTTTCTTTATACAAACTATTCATCGCATACAATAAACAAAAAATTATCTAGGTGAGTAAAACAATTTTAAAAAATCGGAAGTGGTTTTGTGGAGATTCTTAGTAATTTCAGTGGTTGAAATCATAAGTCAATTGAAGCTAGAACACCATGCAAAACCAGGAAGCATTGAACAGCTGTTTCGTCCCAGTACGAGACTCCTCAGAAGTGCGCATCCACGATCCCTCCCCGCGGGATTCGAACACAGGAACTATTGGCCTCGCGCGCGAACGCTTAACCACAAGACCACTGAGCTGGTTGGTATCCAATGGTGTTAATGTCTAACTTCAACTAACCCACGAAATTGCGCCACCGTACACCACTGTCTTCAGTGAGCTGATATCTGACAACAAACGTGGTAGAACTCCACTGGTCACGGCTTCTCACTAGAACTCCAGGAGTATCTCTTGAAGTCAGTCACTAGTGAGCAGATGATTATTATTAGAAAGGGTTTTGTGGAGATCTTTAGTAATTTCAACAGTCTCGTACAAGGATGAAATTGCTGTCCAGTGTTTCCAGGTTTTCCATGGTGGTCTAGATTCAATTGACTCATGATCTCAACTATTGAAATAAAAAAATGTTTTTTTTTCAAAAAATAGAGTAGATTAAGGATTTTGTTTTCTTGGAGTGTTACATGTGATATTGAATGATATAGATGATGCGGTCTCTGGGGTATCGAAAGATGATTTACTTCTTCTGTTTTATTATTCTTTTCTGTCCATTTGTTTTTAAGCGATCTAGACTAATATAAAGTTAGTAGAACCACCTAATTTACTTAGAAATGTTTTGAGATTTTGTGATGGTATAGATTTTTGTCTCAAATATTGAGTAATAACAGAAAGGTAATGGTTTGAATGAAATGTTTTGCTAAATGATAGTCTGTTATGTAAGAGATAAATTGTTCTATTTTAGTTAACTGTTCTATACATATTTTCGTTGTCTATTCTGGAACTTGAGAAATCTAAAATAAAGTGTATCAGATTGTAGCTTATTGTAATATATTCAAAAAAGTAGCAAAGAAATTAACTGACAACTAAACTTCAGCTTTATTACATCATTTCTTCGACATTACACAGTTAGTGTTCAAACGATCGTACTAAAGTTTCCAAAAAACTCAGAATAAATCAAAACTAATACTTCCAAGTTATTAATAGAACGATTTGATAGAGTGTAAGCATTGTTAGACCAAGCACTTTCTATTAGGTATTTAAACCTATGTGTTTCGGTATTTCAAAATAAAACAAAAAAATCCGGGACAGAATAAGCGGAACGAATGTAGCGACCATCGAAAATACGAGGCCTAGTTACGTACGTTTTCGAAGTAACGGTTTTTATCCCTTAATAATTAATGACAAGCTGCAAGTATAAATATACTCCTTATATGTCTTTTACATTGTGGGATGGTTACTTCTACAGTGATCTATAAAACAATCTGCAGTAACATAAAAAAACATTCACATCGTCCGACCGTCATACTATTTTACCGAAAATACTATTTTAACAGAACGGGCAAAATCTGACAAGTATAAAGAGTAACCAAGATAAGATAAATGGACGAAACCATAAAATAATCCGGTTTAGTTATATCACAGATATACCTATTTATATAACACAGACTGTTTAGTTCAAGAAAATTAGTATCATGAGTAGGCGTGCCATCGAATGAAAAAGTCGGTATAGAATTTAACGAAACAGAATCGGTTAGAAAATAATGGAACACATTTTAAGATTAATTTCCTCAGGTAATGGTATAAAATCGATAGGTTACAAAAGTAATCTCTTTATTCGTTAACGGTTTAAGAATTCAAAACTACATATACATTTAGTTAGTAATTTATGTTAGATGGTTTTATGATATCAGTCATACATCAGTAAGGTGCATCTGTAACGTAAGGAAGCCGATGTTTTCTATGGGACACGAAGTTGTCACAACCTTACTGTCAGATATTTTGTCAATCAACTTTTCGGTTTCAGTTGATTATTCTCAATAGGCTATCTATCAATATCAAACAACCATAGAATAATGTATATAATAATCGGATGGTATCACACAATCCAAACAATTATATGTTAGATAAGTGATCATAGGAAAAAAATATAGAGGTTTAAAGTAGAATTTAGGAG